TGAGTAGAGGAGGATAAAGACTGACCTGTTGCTGAATTTGCTATTCTGAGCTCTATATTACACATTTTTTTATATCAAAAGTCGCGCGGAGCCTTTGGCGCCATCGCATCGTTTTTGACACGTTTGCCTTGTATTTAAGACCAATCAAGTGAGAGAGATCGGGGAGTAGAGGGGCGGGGCGTTTTTTTTTTCAAACACGTTACTGGATGTGGCTGTGCTGCGATCTAGTTTAGTTTATCTTTTGCACAGCTGACAAGTCAGACCGTTCAATGAAATGGACAAATTTAAGTGAATCTATATATGGAAATATTTCAAACATAAAGATTATACATATGTACAATATAAACTGTGTTTAGACATGCAGACTTGTGAGCGGTGAAAAAGGTAACAAGTTCAGAAATCAAGGCTCAGCCTTGGTACACTGAGACCAAAAGCTCTGAGATTAGAATGGAAAATGATCCATTTAATATGCAAATACAATGTCGTTAAAAACTGTGCTGCTCTCCTGGGATTTTGCCTTATTTGTTTAAAAACTGTTGCTTACCATACCAAAAGATTAATCTGCTATAAATCCTCTTTTGAGACTCCTTATCAACAATATTTATTAAACTGAGGTCATTTTAAAAACTCTGATTGGACACCATTTGTGTTTTATCTGCTAAAAGGCCTGCAGTGGCTCATAAGGCTTCATATGGTGGCTCGTGCTTGGACGTTGTGATGTAATAGACGCTCCCTAAACTCTCTCACGTTTCAGTTCACACACTTTTTTAAGAGTTTAAAAGGCATTAATTTCACACAAAACAGAGTGAGAGCTGACTGACTTCATTACAAATATTAATAATTTACATAAATTGAGATTTTTGTGACACCCATCAGTCGAAAACTACTAAAGAAGAAATCGTGTATGTGAAAATAAAACTAACTTTACCGCTCAGGCGATTTTACTGTCTGGTAATGTCAGCTCACTTCAGCATGAAAATCTGGCAAGTCAAGGTTAGATGTTAGATTAAGTTAGATGTTTGATTTATAGCTATTCAAACTGTATATATATATAAAGTTTGAATAGCTATAAATCAAACATCTAACCTTGACACACACACACACACACAACACACACACACGCACACACAACACACACACACACACACACACACACACACACACACACACACACACTATATATATATATATATATATATATATATATATATATATCTCCACAAATATTACTATTACACAACTTATTAACTTTTCATATTAACAAAAATCATCTAACCTCTACTTCAAGTACAATGATTAAAGGAAAAGTATTTTATAAATAAATATTTTTCTCAAATCTATTTGTGCCACAATTATTGGCACCCTTTCATTTATTACTTTGTGCAGCCTCCCTTTGCAAAGATAACAGCTCTGTGTTTTCTCCTATAAAGCTTAATGAGAGTGGAGAACAAATAGCAAGAGATCTGAGTCCACTCCTCCATACAGAACTACTACAGACCCTGCAGATTCCAAGATCCACACTGTGCAGGTATTGTGTGGGTTTAGGTCAGGGGACAGGGACGACCATGGCAAATCCTTGATTGAGGATCTGACCACAGCCCAGTTGAAGCTTCCTGGCTAAGGCAGTCAGGTTTTGATATATCATCTGCTGGTTGATGAAACCATCCTCCTCACTGTGAGGGGGGTCAGTATAGATATACGCCCTCTTCCCAATAGATTCTTAACATCTGCACTTGGTTTGTAGTTTGGTTTTTAGTTATTGTCCTGACATTAGAAATTAGCATTTTCAACCATTTAGCTATTTTCTAGTTTGTGCAGCTCAACAACCTTTAGTCGAACATCATTCATCTCCGGTCTTTCTTATGGTGGCTGATGACTGAGGGAATTTGGCCTGTGTGTCACCTCATATTTAAGTGTTACTAATAACTCAGGGGAATTTTATAAACATAAAATATGAATGAGAATATCCTTCTGTGAAATTTCACTCATAAGAATCTCTTGAAGTGCCAACAAATGTGTCACACACAGTTTTGAGAAAAAAAAAATATTAGAATACTGAGTTTGATAGTTCATGTTTTTGAATGTTTGAAATGAATGAGCTTGATATAGGATGTCAAAGTAGTATTGTTAAAATTTCAAAATATACTGTTCACAATGCATACAATCCATACACGCATATGAACATGCAAAACCACCCATTTTGAATTTCATGTCACAAAAAACAGTTCATTTACACAGATCCAACTATTCAGCCTAACACAGTGTAGCTCTAACCACCCATGTTTAAAATTTCTTTTGAGAGAGAGAGAGAGAGAGAGAGAGAGAGAGAGAGAGAGGTTTGAAATAATATATCTGTGATTCTTTGATAGTGATAGTATGCTTACCAGCTGTGGTGAGTGTGATTGTGGAGGACAGAAGAATGAGAGCCACCCAGCTGTCCATCTCCCTCTGACTAGCACACAGTCCGTTCAACTCAGCAGCAGAACAAGCTTCACCTCCACTCCCCCAGAGAGACTGAAGAAACTGAGAGAGAGAGAGGGAGAGACCGACAGACAGAGAGAGAGAGAGAGAGAGAGAGAGAGAGAGAGAGCCTGCAGAGCTGCAAATCACACTCACTATGACCTTATTAGAAAGAGAAGAGGAAATCATCAAACATTTTCAGTGACAAATCAGAGGAGGCATTTTTTTCTTTCTCCATATTTATCAAAAGAGCGTCAGCGCTGATGAACAGAACTCCACCTCCGTCTCTAGAGGTGTGTGTGTGAGGAGAGACGCTCGCAGCAGTGTGGTGAGAAGCACACCAACATACAGGAGACTGACTTCAGAGAGAGGAAACACTCCAGTGTAATACAGCATTAATGCTGCACCTGCAGAGAGCTGATCCACACACTGATAACCATCTCTCACACAAACTGCTCTTCTGTTAGAAGACAGAAACACAGAAATAAGACAAGTTCAACTGACTGACTCACATTCACACAGCTCTAAACTAGAACACAGATACACAGCACAGTGTAATGAAATCATGATCAAAAAACAAATAAAGAATAACTTAATTTAATAAAGGCAATATATTTTTATCATAAGTTAATACCTATTTATTACAATAATTTAACTGATCACTATCACACACATAATTGCTGTAGAGCTCTTGGTTTGATCACTGCAGCATATTTTCTTCTCCACAAGATGGCAGCAGAGGATTGATAATCAGTGAATTTAGTAATTCTTGTGAAGTGCGCTTTCACTGTACTGACAAGCTGAGGTTACTGCTAGTGTCCTAATGTGGCTTTTGTGGTCTCTCAGATACATGAAATAGGGTAAAAATGCCTTAAACATTTAATAACATTTCACACCTCTTCAATTTCATTTTATTTAAATATTAAGCATCTGCATCTCTGCTCAGCTTCAGTTCTCTACAGGTGTGATGGCACAAAACTACTGAAACAAAGTATAAGATTGATGTATATGAGTGATTGAACATTGTTATGTAGAAAATAAGAAAAGGAAGTGTAAATTTATTAATTGGTATCCAATCAAGAATAAAAGAGCAATCAACATTACTTCCCTGAAGTTTGATTTAAAGTGTAATGCAGTAGATTTTCACTCTTTAAAAACAACAACAACAACAATATTGCTTGGAGAACCAGAACGGGAGCAGCTTCAAGGACTTGAACAGGAGCCTTGCATGGAGCTGGCACTAGAGCCGTTCAGGGAGCAGGAACTGGAGCCATTCGGAGAACAAGAACTGGAGCTGCTCTGAGAACAGAAACCAGAGCAGCCCTGGGAACTGGAGCACAGCACTGGCTTGCAGGTAACTTCCATAGCCCTAGGCAGTGCTGTGGGACCCTCCTCTGCCGTTGGGGACTCCATGTCTAGTGTGTCCCCATCACCCCACTCAGTGACACAGAGTAAAGTCTTCTGTAATTTAGATGTTGAGGAACTTTGCAAGTGCAAAATGGCTTTATCAGAGGCAGTCCTCATAGTCTTCAATACTCATAGTCAAAGCAGGCAAAGGCCAAAACACAGGCAGGCAAATTAAGCCATGTTAACAAAACCAAGGGGCAAGCAAGTGTCAAAAACAGGAAAACAAGACAAACAAAGAAACTCAGGCTAACAAACACAGTGACTTCCCAAACCAACAGGGGAAACAAAGGGAATTAAGGCATCTTAATGAGTCCAAGATCAGATGCAGGTGTGTAAGTGGGAGAAGCCAGGGAGAGTGTATGATGAGTCTCCCCACTATTTTGTTATAGAAGCCATAATTTCATGATCTGTGCAGTGCCTATATATGGAGAAGATTTGAGGTTCATCCTAAATTAAAATCGGACAAACCAAATCACTGTAAGAAAATTGATACTGGCACAGCAGGCAATAAAAATGCTTATGGCCCACTTAAGTCTTTAATCACTGGATGCACTGAAGTAATGTTAGACATTTGCTTTTGAGCATTGTAACTAACAAGTTTGCAGACAGCTGAGCAATGTTTTTAAAGTCGTTTTTGCTTTGGATGGGTAAACTGTAACTGTAACTGTCACCAGTTACATATTAAAACAGCAACTGGAGCTTCAAGTTCGAACACTGGCACACTGATAATGAATGTGGATACACCCCTGAGCTGAACTGGGCTGAGTGCAAGAATCTGCTGACTCTACACCTCCCAGCTCATTATGAGGCAGGTAGGTCTCTCCCATCAAGAGCAGATAGTACAGCAGCAGGAGGAGGCGTCTCCACCACCACCTGCACCTGCCTGCCTGCTAAAAGCTCAACAGCTCACCATGCAGCCATGTGTTTGTGTTCAGTATAAAGCGAGATATGTTCTCAGAGGACACTGTGATGCTGAGGTGGTGTGTGAAATACTACTGTAAGAAAAGTCTGTGTGTGACTGAATTAGTTAATCAGAGCACAAGGAGTTTGAGGTCTTCAGGTCTGGGTCTGAGACCACTGGGCTAGGGCGAGCTCTAATGGTCAGTGTCTGCCCTGTAACAAGATTGATTCCACACACACCTTACTGTGTTGCTTTTATGTATGTTAGTAAACTTTTATACTACGTTTTCTGACACAAAATAATTGAATAGAAAACACTCTTCCTTAAATCAGTTTAATAAAATATTCATGTATTTATTTGAGTCAGTTTAGGTTATTTTGAACTTTTATTCGTATTTATATTTGGGTGAGGGTTATTATTATGCTTTTGTGGAATTATTATAATGGCCTGGAATAAGGAACTTTGGAAATATTACACTTCCAAGTCCAAATAAAAAGAAATTAAATCTATGTAACCTTGGAACATTATCTCACTCATTATTTTGGAGTCATTTAGTGACAAACCTGAAATCAAAGATTGAGTTCCTCCAATACTCCTCTCCCCGCACTTTGTTCACCAGCCAGTGTATAAGGTCTCTGAACAGGCCATTCCCGTTCAGTCAATGTAAAAATGAATTGCACAGGTCTGAAAAGGGGAGAAGCATGGGTACAATGGGACCAAGACCGTCCAAATCGCACAAGGTCAAACTAGACTGGGGTGGACAGATCAGGCCATGTCTGTGGGTGACACATCCCCTTTTTATTTGATTTTTTTTTAACTGATTTTAGCCAATAAAAATGAACAGTTTAGACCTGCTTGTACTCCAAAATCATGGAACTGTAATCACGTATTTCAAATCTCACCACATGTTCAAAGTTGGCCAAAGTTTGGCAGATCTTGTACAACCCCTGCAGCAGGTTTTCTATCCACTAAATTTTTGCAACTTTTGAAAATGTGCAAAAAAGAACTGAATGGAAAAGCCCGAAATTAGAAAAACACTCAAGAGCGTTGGGCAAGGTGGAAAGGTTAGAATATAACAAAAGCATAAATGCAAAACAGGGTGATGGAAAAGGGTTTTTCAGACAGACAGTGACATGTCAAGCCGTTAATGAGAAACGACTGGCCCCACAAATGGTCCAGTCATGGGGCATGGAGCTTTTCGAAGGCTGCTTTTTGGCATGAAATGTCTAAACCAAAGTGCATTTGAAAAATGGCTCTGCATATTATAATCCCATGATTGTCTGGCATGTTTTGTGTTGTCATCTTGCCATGTCATGTTGTCACACTTCCCCCCAATCATGGTAACCTACGTCATCTAAAGTTTCTTTGCATAACTGTAGTGGATGAAAACACAACTTTTTTATCTGCAGAAATTTCATAAATGTACATAACATTTGTGAAACGTTTGAATGACTAGTGATGTAACACATCAATTATTCCCTGCAAATCTTTAAAATATCAAACTAGGTCACAATGTAACAGAAAAAGCCTATTAGTTAGTAGTTAGCTAGTAGTTATAATTAGTAGTTACAATTAGTCTATTGTGTGACTCATCCTTGATTTTATGTGAAGTTTTTAAATATTCATTGCCAGCAAAAGCAAGCAAATGGAGTAGGCCTTTGCATTTTTACATATGACTGTATGTGTAATGCTCACAAAATTAGAAAGCAGTGATTAAAACAACCAGTTTAATCTGTATAAAATTGAAAATAGTACAAAAACACAATATTTAATGTTTTTCCTTGTGAATTTTTGTAAATATATGCTCATTCTAAATTAATTCCTGCACCATGTTCCAAAAAAGTTGGGATAACCACGTTTACTACTGTGTTGCAGCACCTTTCTTTTTAACAGCACTTAATAAACATCTGAGGACTTCAGACACAAACTGATCAAGTTTTGAAAGGGGATTTTTTTTCTGTTCTTCTGTTATAGAAGTCTTTAGTGCTACAACCATACAGAGCCTTCACTGTTATATTTTGCATGCATTGTCAGTTAGAGAGACTTCTGGGCTGCAGTTTGGCCAGTATAGCACCCGTACTTTCTGATTATACAGTAATGCTGTTAGAACATGTGCAGAATATGGCTTGGTTTCGTCATGTTGGAATGAGCATGAACGTCCCTAAAAAGGCGTCGTCTAGAAGGCAGCATGTGTTGCTACAAAATGTGTTCAGCGTTAATGGTGCCTTCACACATGTGCAAGTTACCTACTAATACTCCTCTGTACCATGACAGACCCTGGCTTTCGAACTGTGTTCTGGTAACAATCCAGATAGCCCTTTTCTTCTTTGGGCCAGAGAATGTCCATTTAACATAAGAACATCCCATGACAAAATAATACAATTTTGAGATGATAATTATATTTATGCATTAAAAACACCCAACATTACAGCTAGGAATGCTGGGAAGCCTATTCAATTTGTAGGATTTCATTGAGACAAATGACAAAATCATACATCAGTCTTTAAAAAAATCACATATGTGAGGCCTTTTGGGTCAAACTCAAAAGCTTGTTGTTGAAACTGTACAGATGGGTTCTAGGGTTCTCTGAGGTGAGGAACTCCATTGATTGTACCAATTTTGGGACATCTGGGACTTCAGAAATATCAATTGTGGTTCAGATGTGATAAACATGAAGGCTGATACATTCAGCCTGACATTTGAGGTGGGTCTGATTAAAGTCTAGAAGTCCA